TAACTAGTATTTAAAACGGAAAAAAGCAGCACATGAAAGAATTTTGAAGTCATTTGCAAAGTATCATTTTCTTCACAGACGGTGAATTTTTGATAATCGAGAAGTTCAACAATTATCGTCTAATTTTCAAGTTTATATTGGGATTATTTGAACATTACAAGAGTTCCAACTGTCAAAGCTAATTCCTCAGAAACTAAATACAGCTGTGATTTTAAGAGTCACAATCACAATTGGAGTCACAATTTAGACTCAACCAAACTGTGTAGTTATAGAAACTTAGTTGATTTTGCAAAGAAAAGGGAAGAACTACTTTACATTAAAAAACCAAATCTTCTTAGATAAAGAGGCGTAGGGGGTTCTTTATAATTTTCAAATATTTTAATATTTTGTTCATTTTAAACGAATTAAAGTGCCATCCCACGACTGAGGGTAACATTTCGTGGTAGGAATATTCATTTGTGTAAAGAGAAGTAACAATTGCAAGGCGTCTGCCACACTCATCTTACGACTATGAAAATACGGTAAGTACATACGTTTAAAATGATTCAAAAGAGATAGAGAACTTGAGAACGTTCATCTAGTTATCAACGTGAACGACATCCCCACTTATAGGAATACAAGCAACAGCGAAACATTTGCAGAAGCGAATCTACTAAGCTGCGAAAGAAATACGAACTTAACATACTACTATTCCCCAAAATGCTATATGGCTACATACGTAACACAAAAAGACCTCAGGAGTTAAGCCCTGTCCTAAAAACTACAGATAGGCAAATGGAGACTGATAACTAGGTAAAAGCATCCCTTATCTCCAACTTCTTTAAATCCGCCTACACTCGAGAACCTACTGATTTCGCTGCTTGTCCGTTTACCCGTCAGCAGATATCTACACCCCTACGCTCCCCATCCGCAAACATAGAGGAGATAGAGTTTTCACAGGACACAGTCAGGGCCAAATTACTCCACCTTAAGCCTGCCAAATCACCTGGGGCAGAAAAAATTCCTAAACTCGCATTACGAGAACCGGCCTTCAAACTGTACAAAACTCTATCTGTCCTCTTCCAAAGGTCTTTTAAAGAAGGCTTACTCCCGGAAGAATGGAAGTGGGCACCCCCGATCACTCCGATCTATAAGGAAGGTTCACGACTTGATTGCGCAAATTACCGTCCAGTAAGTCTAGCTTGCATCGGGTGCAAAATAATGGAGCGCATTATCAAGAGGCGTTTAATGGGATTTCTGAAAAAAAATACTATGCGATGGTCAGTACGGCTTTCGTCCAGGACGCTTTTGCCTTACAAATGCTTTTTACTTGCATGAGAAGTGGATAAAGGCCACAGATAAGGGCTATCCAAGTGATATCATGTTTTTCGACTCCAAGAAGGCTTTCGATACTGTACCACACAGGCTTCTTCTACAGAAGATTTCGGACGTAGAAATTCAAGGAAAAAATGTTTAAAAGGATCAACAGTTTCCTGTCCCTCAGAGAACAGAGGGCCGTTGTTGGAAACTCAACCTCGGAATGGACAAAGGTAGAAAGTGGTGTACCACAAGTCTCAGCTTTGGGCCCGTTACTCTTCCTAATCTACGCAAAATGACTGCCCCAATAACCTCATTTGCGCAGCTGTCATGTTTGCGGATAGCATACAAATACGCGCTGTAGTTAGCTGCGCTGACGACGCAAAAAGGTAACAATCAAAAATCAATAAACTGATTAGCTGGTCGTCCACGTGGCTTCTTAACTTTAATGTATCCAAGTGTCTGGTCATACGCATAAGCCCCAGTCGAAAAGTGTCGCAGAAACATAGTTATTTTATCAATGGCACCGCATTGAAAAGGCTCATACGCACAAAGATCTAAGCATATGGACGACCGCGAACTTGATGCCAACA